CACTTTAATTAGCTGGTGATTTATGTCCGTCCTGAAGTGGAATGACTTTGTCTTTCCTAGGATCAGTGCATAGATGTTGAACTCCTTGAAAACAGAGGCTGCATATTCCTCACCCTTGATTCTCAGCATCTGTCTGAGGCATTGTATGCTTAATCTGTGTGTGTTAGTTGCTCAGTTGTGCCTGACTCTTTGTGATCCCATGAACGGTAGCCCACCAGGCTTCTCTGTCCTTGAAATTCTCCAGGCAAGAATACTGGAGTGGGTTGCCATTCCCTTCTCCAGGGGATCTTCCCAACCCAGGGGTCAAACCCAGGTCTCCTGAACTGCAGACAGGTTCATTACCGTCTGAGCCGCCAGGGAAGCCAGTATGCTTAATAGTTTGTAAAATTAACTGTAGTTAAGCAACTTTCAGCTGTTAACTGACTAAACTCTACATGACTTAAACACAACACGAAAAGTTGTATCTTTATTTACCTATAACAGAAAACTGTATTTATTCCCTTCATTGTGAAATAAATATTTTAGAAGACAGTGTCCTCAAGGGTTTACAATTCACCTAAAACGAGCAGCCTTTCAAGTAGTTTCTGACTGAAACTTAAAAGAATTTTGAAATTTAAGAATGCTAGTACTTCTTACACCCTGGAAAAAAAGTGGAATAAATAAGTTGATTCAATTTGATCAGAATAGATTGATTGGTGTTGAGAACTTGAATCCTTGTGAGTAGATGCACTTGAGCAAGTTTTCATTTATTTAATCAGTTTTTGTCAAGGGCAAAATTTTAAACTATTTAATAATTAAATAATATTTGAGTTACTTGGTGATTTTTATTTTATTACTGCTTTTAAAATTTCCTATCACCCTGATTGAGCAGATCAGATAAACTCCTTTTTAACTACTACTTTCAAAATTATATTTTATAGTTAAATTAATCTTTATAAAGATCTAAACCAGTTAGAAGAAAAATTCTACAATAGCCCCTTCTCAACTGGGGTGCTTATATTTCTGGACAACTTGGGGTTTATAATAAAGAAGCATAAGATCTTAGTGGAAGCATAGAGTTAAAGGGACCAAGACTTGGGTAAACCTTATAAAGCTTGCTCTCACTCTGCAATGGATGAGCTGGGGTCCAGAAGTGAAAGTCAAAGTGGCTCAGTCGTGTCCAAGTCTTTGTGACCTCATGGACGCAGCCCATGGAATTCTCCAGGCCAGAATACTGGAGTAGGTAGCCTTTCCCTTCTCCAGGGGATCTTCCCAACCCGGGGATCTTCCCAACCCAGGGATCCAACCCAGGTCTCCCGCATTGCAGGTGGATTCTTTAGCAGCTGAGCTATCACTGTTTGTAAATCCATTTGACCCCAAATGAAAACAGGCAAAACTTCCAGGCCCAGGATGCACAGCCACCTAAGGAGTACCATCTGGTCCCTCCAAGCTTTGAACTAAGTGTGTCCCTTTCTTACTTACTGCTAAGTGTTCTTGGTCACACTGAAAATCTCCAAGGCAGTCTATCCTCCATGATCTCAAGATGTTCCAGATTTCTTTGCTTTTGAAATACTGGGCATATTCAAGGAGGCATGAACCTGTAGAACTATCCAAGGTTATAACAGAGGCTTTATTATCACTGCTTTGACCTCATATAATGTTTACTTTTTCAAATGCTTCCCTTTTTCATGAATTAGCCTTATGTTGAGAGGCATTCAGTACTGATGACTGATAATGTTTATAGGCAACTGTTTGTCAGTTACTTTTCCTGACTTATAACACAGGGACAGAATTTTTGAAATGTCACATCAATTGTCTTTTTTATTGAAGTTTGGTTGATTTACAGTATTACATTAGTTTTATATAAACAGCATAATTATTTAGTATTTTTATAGATTGTACTGCATTTAAAATTATTATAAAATAATGCCCATATTTACTCATGCTGTACAAATATATCCTTGTAGCTTGTTTATTTTATACATGGTAGTTTGTACCTCTTAATCCCCTGCCTCTATCTTGCCTCTCCTTCCTTTTGAATTGTCTTTTAAAATTCATTATCATTACTGTAATTAAATGATTCATCCTGTGTTCATATATACATCTCACTGCTTTCAATTTTGTATAAAATTATTTCACCTTTTATTTTTCTCATGATTCTTCATCTCCTGTTATCACTTTCAACACTCTAGGGATGACGGGTAATAATCTATATAAGACATTTGAAAACTATACTTAAATATGGAAGCAAGCAGCAGAATGTTGAGATAAGCCCATAGTAAAGTCAGATGCTTTGGGTGACATTCAGCAGCCGACTCTTAGTGGTGGGTGGTTGGATCGGCTTTGATTCCAGAGTGCAGTTGTGTTTATATTTGTGCTTGCTCGAGAGCTGAAAGTTCTCAAGTAATTTTTAAGCTTCTGTAATTGTGCTACTGGTTTCCAGTCAATGGCCCTTACTAGCTAGCAATTTCAGTAAGAAGTTTATAAATTATTTTTGTCTTGTTGTCAGTAATATGCCCTTGAGATGGTTCTCTTGACCCCTTGCTTGTCTTCCAACTAAATATTTCAGTTTGTATCCAAATTTATAACTTATAGAACACCAACTTCTTTCTCTAGGGCCTCTCTCCCTCTCCATCCTCTTTTTAAAATTTATTTTTTATTGAAGTAATGTTGGTTTATAACATTTCATGGTTCAAGTGTGCATTTTATTTCTACTTCTGTGTACACTATAACATCTCTCCATCAAAAATCTTGTTTCCATCCTCTATTTTTACCTTCCTCCTCTTCACAGATAAAGGAGTACATTTTTATAACTTGAATTTACTCTTCCTGATGTTTCTTTACATTTACCAGGACATTGTAAAAGTAACATGCCAACAGCTTTACCAACCTTTTCTTTTTTGATTCTTATAAGTTGCCTCAAATTACATTTCTGTATACTCAGATTTTGACTTAAGGGGACCTCCTGGATAAGGAGAAATTAGTCTTTTTTAGATTTAACATATCAAAGTTTTTAAGTTATGCTATGATTTCCTAATATCAGAAGCTTAAAATAACTTTATTCTTAATTCCTGAATTTTACTTTTGATGAGAAATGCAAGTTACAGAGTGTAAATGTATAGGAAAGGGATAAAAGATATGTAGAGGAAAGGGATAAAAGAAAAATCACATGGTTATTGTTTGCTTATATTGCTTAAGGTAAATTTCTAAGGGATGGTTCTTTTATTTATTGCCTTCAGGGTTTACGTGCTTTGGATTTTCATAGTAATTTCAATACATTAGTTAAGAAACCCCCCAAAAATTTGGAGCATGGGCTGTTCCAAGGCAGTCTTTCTTCTACAGCAGTATTCATGCATTTGACCTTGGTCTAACAAAGAGATTTGTCATTGGCCGTTGCTTGCTGTTCATTAGTATGTCTGAATTTTGCCCTGCTTGTTCTTGTAAACAGGCATTTTGGATCACTTGAGGCTTATAAACCAAGTAAACAATTGTAAGAGTTCTGATGATAACTGAAGTGCCGGTGTATGGCAGAATGCTGTCGCCACTAACACGGAATAGACCAACACACAAATCATGCTCAGAGCTTTCTTCCTCTGACTTTTTTTAGGTCTATGTAGTCACATCTGTGTTGGACACTGACCGTGGATATACATCTTTCTCTCATGAGAAAGATGGAGATGTAGTTCAGTAGTTTATTTCTTAGCACATGCAGTAGTGGTGTATGACTTATATTGGGAGTCTGTCTGCGTTCATCACCCAAACTTGTGAAGTAATGTCTGTTTAAAAATTGTTCTATATATAATAGTCCTTGTTTTTCATTTTTAATCCCTGGAGGGACTTTGGAAAAGCTATGAGAATGAAGCAAGAAGTCCTTGATGCTGCACATGATTCTGTATCTGTTTGTTTTGTGACCTTGTATAAGTTTGTTAGACTCTCATAACCTTGATTTACCTGCTTGTAAAATAGAAATATTACTTGTCATTATTGATGAGAGGATTAAGTGAGATTCTAAGTGAAAGTTCTTTTCAGTGTAGAAAACCAGAGAGAAATTAAAAGCATTGTTTCTTTGGTTTTCATAGTCATGTTAAAAGCCCTCTTTCTGTTGTCCATCCTTACCCCACAACCAAATTAAGACCGGACTTGTTACCACAAAGCCTGATGTGTTCATATGCCATCCTGAAAGCATAGGGCAGGTACTGCATGGCACTGTCTTAGTCACCTCACTTGGGCTGTGCTGACCCCAACTCCTGCTTCCCTTAGTCTGTAAACCCTCTCTGTGCCTTAGGAAGAGATAGATTCACTTCACTACCTCAGAGCAAGTAGAACCAGAATAAACACTTGCCTCCATGGGTTCAAACCCCTGTTGTGCCTCTCACTAGCTGTATGGCCTTTGAGAAATTACTCAAGATCTCTGAACCTCAGTTTCTTCATATAGAAAGTAAGCATATTACTGCCTTCCCCTTGGAGTGGATTTCTGAAGGTGATAGCTGTGAAAGGCCAGAATGAGTGTTTAGTATGTAGTATACATGCTGTTAATTTATATGTTATATGGAAATGTTGGATCCTTTCTCATGAGTTCTAGACAGAGGATATATGACTAAATAGTTGATGATAATTAAATCAACTTTAAAGGAAGTTTTGGGATTCTTTAATCAGATAATGACCTGTTATATGATCTTTGACTTTCTTCTTGTTTGTAATGAAACAGATGATTGTTGTTGTTTAGTCTGTTAGTTGTGTCTGACTCTTTTGCAATGCCATGGACTGTAGCCCACCAGGCTCCTCTGTCCATGGGATTTCCCAGGCAAGAATACTGGAGTGGGTTGCCATTTCCTTCTCCAGGGGGTCTTTCTGACTCAAGGATTGGAACCTGAGTCTCCTACATTGGCAGGTGAATTCTTTACCACTGATCCACCAGGGAAGCCCAAAACAAGTGATAAACATCTTCATTTCTTTTTACCTGGACACACACTCTCTCTCATGCACACACACACACACTTACTTTCCTGTTTGATCTTTAGCACAGATGGATATTGTTTCACGATGATAGAAGAAGATGACTCTGGGATGCCTGTGGTCACTTCTGGATGTCTGGGACTAGAAGGCTCAGATTTTCAGTGTCGGGTAAGGAAGATACCTTGATTCCACTTTGTAACCTTTTATGGGCAAGATTACAAAAAACCAAGTGGCAAGCAAGATAAAACAGAATTTTTTTGGACTAGCTTGTTTTCAGTATTTTGGACAATAATTAGAAAATTTGCATTGGGTCAGTTCTCCCTTCATTTTGAAATCAAGTAGTCATTTTATTTTTGCTGTTAACTTTTGGCTTAGGGACTTATTAGATCATCTTGCCAAAATTCCAGTTTGGTAAATTGCATTAAGCCAAGCCTTCTTTCTGAGTTTATACTATGCATACTGGTTATGGCAAATATAATAGTAATTTTGTAGAAGTGCCAAAGTTGCAGTAAGAATATACATGATGATTTGAAAGAAATTACCTAATATAGCATTTCACTGTGTCTGAATAAAATTATTAGAATTTTAAGTCAGTTCTCTAAAGAGTGTTAATTGGCTAGTTTTAGGTGATATGGCTTTGAAATTTGGGGTAAACATATTAATAGCTGTCAGGTTTCAATTTCAGGACACTCCCATTCCTCATCAGAGAAGATCCATTGAATGCTGCACAGAACGGAATGAATGTAATAAAGATCTACATCCCACGCTTCCTCCGCTGAAAAGCAGAGGTAAGGAGAGGAAGGCTCACGGGCTGGAAAAGCTTTAGGCATAAAGAGATAAACACTAGAATTATTCTCTTTTCCAAAGGTATCTGCCTGTACTGTTTTCTCACTCCTGGGCCAGAGGGGCGAGACAAGATGACAATGAAACTGACATTCAGAGATGAATACAGGGAGTTATTGGGAAAAGAGCCACATGTGACTTCACTCTTAAGATTTACTTCTTTACCCTGTTCTTACTTCCCTCAGAAAACTAGTGACTAGAGCTTGGAGTGGGTTTCAAGAGGATAGAGGAGGGACAAAGTGTCTTTTGTTTACCCCTAAATGTTATTCAGAAGTTGTGCCTCATTCAAATGCTGTTTGGCTACATTTGTTTTAAAAATAAGGACCTTATAAAGGTGCAGTCCCCAACCTTTTTGACACCGGGGCCTGGTGTTTTGGAAGATAATTTTTTTGCAGACTGCATGGGGAGGTGGTTTCAGGATAATTCAAGTGCATTACATTTATTTTGCATTTTACTTCTATTATTATTATATCAGCTCCACCTTGGATCATCAGACATTAGATTCTGGAAGCTGGGGACCCTTTTATAAAGGGTTAATTCAGATTATTTGCTTCATGGAATTTCCTTTTACTTATGCTAGAGTAACTACCTTTTAGTCAATTCATATATATTGATAAAATGGAGAAAATATCTAGAAACTTTAGTTCTGAGACGTATACATTTAGTGTTGCTCATTAAAAAAAAGACACACTGCATTCCCAATGACTCTTGGTTAAAAACAGCTCCCATGTTTCCTTTTTTCTTGGTCTCACCACAAAATAAATGATTTATAATTGTCATAGAGTCCTAAGTCTTAAAAAGGTAGCTTAAGATGATTTATCATCGTTGATTTTTATTTCTTAAAAGAATATCTTCCCAACAAAATACAATGACCTTATTGGGTTATGATGATATTTTATAACATTTGTTCCTATAGCCTAGCTCTGTAAGATTGATTCATAATAATGCACATCTAAAAGTCACAGGCATTTTTTTTTTTTTAATTTTGCCCGTCAGCATGCTAGGTGTTAGGGATTCATAAATGGATGAAGAAAATTCTCGCTTTCAAGACTAGCACACTAGATTGTGAGAGAGAAACGTGGAAATAATTATACTCAGAAAAATCTCAGTAGACACAAAAGAGTGGCTCATTTTGGAGTAGGAGGATGTCAAAAGAGCTGCATAGATGTGATATTTGAGCAAATTTTAAGGATGAACAGAAGTTTGCCAAGTGGGCAAGGCAGAAATAAACAATTAAAAAATGAAAATGGCTAACATAAGCCAAGAATAATGCTAGTAACTATGACATTAATTCAACCATTTGAGCTTCACAACAATCCTGTAGGATATTTAGGATTATTAGTCCCTATTTAAATATGAGGCTCTTGTAGATGTTAACTAACTTTCCCAAGGTTGCACAGCCTGTGAATAGCAATGACTCTTAAACAGAGGCAATGTAATGTTTGTAATATTTGAGAAAGATTTGCAAACTGCAGTCATGTGAAACAGCATAGCTGGTTGGGAAAAGTCTCCTAATTCAGTTGTTTGACGCCTCGCTGTTCAAAGTGGGCCTGTGGATCAGCAGCACCAGCATCACTTGAAACTCGTTAGAAATGCAGAGGCTCAGGCTTCACTCCAGACTACTAAACCTGCATTTTTAATGAGATTTCCCAAGTGATTTATATACACATTAAAATTTGGGCAACACATTTGGTAGAAAAAGACCTATGTGCGGATATAGCTAGACCTATGTGCTAGATATGTGTGTCTCAATGTGTGTATCTGACAACACCTTGTTCAAAGAGAAGTCCACTGATTTCAAACTGCTATAAAATTCTAGATGTTTATTTTGTTTTGTGGTTATTCCTTTATGAATCAGTTGCAAAAAGTAGGTGATCTATAGACAGCATTTTGAATAGTACTGATACAGGAGTTGATGTGTTGGGCTTGGGGCCGGAAGGTGGGTAAAATGTGCAAGAAATGAAGATAGATGTGCTAGAATCGCTTCCCTCAAGGAGAGAATCCTAACAGTGGGAGTTAGGAAAACTGACTTCAATGCTGAAAGGGCTGCAGTTCACATACTGTCCTGTAGGTGGAGCCAGATTCCAGTTAGGACCTGGCAGGCAGCAGAGGGTTCTCTGAGGAGGCTGAGCGTTCTAGAGAGCTCAGCAAAAAGGTTTTGGAAGGAAGAGCAGTAGTGCTGGGAAGGCAAGTCCTTTGTCCAGGAAAGCGGATGCTGATGTGGCTGGTGGATTATGTGAGAATTATACAAGGTGATAGATTTGAAGGTGCGGAGTTTAGTGGCTTTAAAGGTACTGTTTTGAACTCCGAAGATCCTAGGTAGTGCCTAGGTGAGGTCTGACCTCACCGTTTTTGGTGCAGTCATTTTGCGGTCTAAAAGTCCCTGAAGACTATGGTCTGAGAGCGCTGGTCATGTTTACATAAATATACCATTGAGCTGCTGTTTTTTTGCCTCTACCATATATACATGGGCAGCATTTTTACAAGAAGTGTACCGTATATGTTTACTGAATTCAGTAGTGCCTTGGTCAGAAACATTTGCATTGCAGCCTGATGTATATATGTCTACATATAGTTGTATTGGAGACATGTGTATGTATGTTTTGGTATAAAACCCAAAATAAAGAACAGGGGTATTAAAGAGACATGGAACCATCTTATTTTGATAGCTTAAATTTTAGCTGCTGTTGTAATACTTAGGGCCAACCCTAACTTTTGTGGAGCTGGGGCAGTAGTATAAATGGAAAAGTGCATACCATTTACTTAATTATTTAAAACTCATAATCCAATGTAGCAGACTGGCAAATAAAATACTTTCTGTTAACTGAATTTAACAAGTATATTTTTATAATGGTGAAGAACACCAACTTTGTGTTTAGAATGCTTGAACTACTTAGACTGATTCACTGCAGTGTGGGAGGGGGAGTGATGGGGAGCCCTGCCCTGGGAGGAGCCGCTCACGCATGCAGCTGGAGACCGGTTTGTGTCTGTGGTGGTGATACTGTTGGTTCAGAATGCTTGAAGCACTTACCTGGGTCCACACCACTCTGGCAGCCCCCACAGACATTTCTTCAACTGGAGCCAGTGTTGTGACTAGACCGGCCCATGTGGTTCTTATTATATAAAATTCACCTCAGCAACCACTGTCAGAGAAATCTGAGAGAAAAGATGTATTATTTGCACAAACTAGAGGCTATACAGCATACCTGAGGGCCACCCAGCAGGGTCACAAGCATGTGGGGTGGGGACCTGGGCTTCTGCTTTTATTGGGGTCAAAAGTAGGGTGCCTAGGATTTCATAGATTCACCCTTTATTGGCAAATTGATTAATTAATTTAAATGACTGAGTTATAATTGACATAAAACGTTATATTAGTTTCAGGTGTACAACATGACTCAATATTTGTATGTATTGCAAAATCATTACCACAATAAGTCTAGCTAACATTTGTCACCTACATGGTTAGAAAAATATTAGCAAATTTAAAACATAAGAGTGGGGATGAGGGTATGGGGAAGGAAAAGTGGAGTTATCAAGGTGGTCAGTTATCCAGGGAACTTTGTGGGCAGGGTTACCTGCTTTCTTACTAGTTGTTTTACTAGTAGTTGCATCATGCAGCTGGTAATATGTTTATCTGAGATGTTTTGAAATGGATGCCTCAGTAATCAGAAGCTTAATGTTGGGCAAACACCTGGCCCTCTGGTTTATGCTCTGCCCACATGTCTTGCCCCAGCCAACCTCCGCCACCTCTTTGTCAAAGGTTAGGGTAAGTACACCAGTTCTTCAGTGCCCCTTCAAGGAGACAGGGGGTTGTACAGTCCCCAGACACAGACCTGGGGCCGTTTAGGTAGAATTTCAGACTTTGGGGCAATGGCCAGTGTTTTAAATGGAGAGTGGGATGGGACAAATTTGGGATGGACACTTCACTGGGGTTTTGCAAACCCACTGCTTATTGGGAAGAGGTACAGTTGAAGGGAGCCAGAGCTCAGAGCCCAGGCCAGTTTTGTGGGTGAAGGCAGTGGAAATTATCATCATAACCATGATAATCACATTTGCTAATATGAATGGAGTGCTTACCTGCCATGGCCCTTTTCTAAGTTGTTGTTGTTGAGTCACCCAGTCATGTCTGACTCTTTGCAGCCCATTGGACTGTGGCAAGCCAGGCCTCCCTGTCCCTTACCATCTCCTAAAGTTCACCCAAGTTCCTGTCCATTGCGTCAGTGATACCATCTAGCCATCTTATCCTCTGATGCCCTCTCTTCCTTCTGCACTGTTTTTTCCAGCATCAGGGACTTTTCCAATGAGTAGACTGTTCACATCAGATGACCAAAATACTGGAGTTTCAGCTTCAGCATCAGTCCTTCCAAAGAGTATTCCGGGTTGATTTCCCTTAAGATTGACTGGTTTGATCTCCTTGCTGTCCAAGTACTTTTCTGATTACTTTCCATATACTAACTAATTTAATCCTTAGAACAGCTCAGTGGGGAAGGCACTATTATCATCACCCCCATTTCGCAGACATGCAGCTGAGGAACAGTGAGGTCAAGTACCGTGTGAAGGTTACAGAGCTAGAGTGAGTACTGGAGATGGGAAGTGGGCCTTGGACCACATCACCCTGAATCTTCTATAAAAAAGAAAAGGAGAACAAAACCCTGAATGACATTGTCGAAAAAAAAGCTTTTATGTATGTAAGAGCTGGAAAGCTCTAAGTAAGTAGTGGTTGGTTAGCCATATCACGAAATAATCAGTAAACAATATGATTACTTCAAAGCCTTCTGTTTAGTATGTTTGCTTTGCACAGTTAGCATTTTCTTTATTCTAGAATAGGCTTCCCTTGTGGCTCAGCAGGTAAAGAATCTGCCTGCAGTGTCGGAGACTGGGTTCTATCCTTGGGTTGGGAAGATCCCCTGGAGAAGGGAAAGGCTATCCACTCCAGTATTCTGGC